CTGGCGCTGCAGCGGCGCCAGCCCCTGTGCGTGCCACGCCGGGAGCTGACGGAGCTCGACATCCACCACCGCATCCTGCGCTTCCGCAACTACACCGTGGCCATGGTCAACAAGTCCCTGCTGCCCGTGCGCTTCCACCTCCCGCTGCTCGGCCCCGTCGTCTTCCTCACGCGCGGCCTCCAGTTCAACCTGGAGCTGCTGCTGTTCCGGGGCCCGGCCGCGCTCTTCCAGAACACCTGGAGCCTGCGGCCGCAGGTGAAGCGGGCGGGGGCGCGGCGGGCGCTGGCGCGGGGGCTGGCGCGGGCGGCCGTGCTGCTGGGGGTGGCCAACCTGGCGCTGTGCCCCTGCGTGCTGGGCTGGCGCCTGCTCCTCGCCTTCTTCAGCTACGCCGAGGGGCTGAAGCGGGCGCCGGGCAGCCTGGGCGCGCGCCGCTGGTCGCTCTACGCCCGCCACTACCTGCGGCACTTCAACGAGCTGGGCCACGAGCTGCGGGCGCGGCTGAGCCGCGGCCACGCGCCGGCCACCAAGTACATGGACTCGTTCAGCAGCCCGCTGCTGGCCGTGCTGGCCCGGCACGTCGGCTTCTTCGCCGGCTCCGTGCTGGCCGTGCTCATCGTGCTCACCGTGTACGACGAGGACGTGCTGACGGTGCAGCACATCCTGACGGCCATCACGCTGCTGGGGCTGGTGGTCACCGTGGCCAGGTGGGTGCCGGGACCGGCAATCGCGGCGGGCGTGCCGGGCTCTGTGCCGTGCCGGGTGGGCAGGGGGGCTCAGGTGGGACCCCGCCTGTCACCACCAGGTCCTTCATCCCTGACGAGCACTCGGTGTGGTGCCCCGAGCAGCTGCTGCAGCGGGTCCTGGCGCACGTCCATTACCTGCCCGAGCACTGGCAGGGCCGCGCCGGCCGCGCCGAAACGCGCGCTGAGATGGCACAGCTCTTCCAGTACAAGGCGGTGGGTGCAGCCCCCCCTGCCACGGGACCCTCCTCCCTAGACCCTCCTCTCTGCCACTCCCCTCCCCCAGGACCCCACAGACTGGGAGCTCCCTGTCCCAGGATCCCCCACCCTGGGACCCCCCCATCCCCAGGACCCCACAGACTGGGAGCTCCCTTTCCAAGGACCCCCCACCCTGGGATCTCCCATGCCAGGACACTCCTGCCCCAAGACTCCTCATGCCTTGGAATCCCCCACCCTGGGACCCCTTAACCCGGGGACCCCCCCACCTGAGGACACCCCATCTCCAGTACCCCCACCCCGGGACCCACTGCCCTAAGACCCCTTGCACCCAAGACCCCCCTCCCCAGTGGGTCACGATTGCCCCCTCCAGGACCGACTCCTTGGGACCCCCACCCTGGCCCTCCCACCACAGTACTTCCCACCCCGGAACCCCCTTGCCGGGACCCCCTGGACTCCCCTGTCCCCCCACGCAGGTTTTCATCCTGGAGGAGCTGCTGAGCCCCCTGGTGACCCCCCTGATCCTCATCTTCGCGTTCCCCCCCCCGCGCCCTCGACATCGTGGATTTCTTCCGCAACTTCACGGTGGAGGTGGCCGGGGTGGGCGACATCTGCTCCTTCGCCCAGCTGGACGTGCGGCACCACGGCAACCCCCAGGTGGGGCCCGGGGGGGCTCGGGGGGACCCGGGGCGGGGGGAGGCCGGGGATGGGGGGTCCCGCGGCAGGGGGACCCGTGTCGGGGTGTCCCGTGTCCCTATCTCTGCAGTGGGTGCCTGGGGGGCACACAGAGGACCCCCGTAGTGGGCGATTGGGGTGAGGGGGACCCGTGTCGGGGTGTGCCACGACCCTGTCCCCGCAGTGGCTGTCGGGGGGTCACACGGAGGCCCCCCCGGAGCGCCAAGCAGAGCACGGGAAGACGGAGCTGTCGCTGATGCGCTTCGCCCTGAGCAACCCGCGGTGGCGGCCGCCGCCGCCCGCCCGCCGCTTCCTCGGCCACCTGCACGCCCAGGTGACCCGCGACGCGGCCACCGCGCCACCCCCCCGGCCACTGCTGGCCGAAGGGCCGCTGGCCGCCTCCCTCCTGTCCGAGGACTCGGCCCTGGCGGTGAGTGAGGGCGGTCTGGGGAGGCTGGGGGGTGTTTTGGGGTCCCCCCCCCTGACGCGTGTCCCCGCAGCCCGAGGGGTTGGTGGCCAGTGTCCTGATGGCCAGCGGGCTGGTGGCCCGGGACCCGCGCTTCGGGCAGCCCTGCAGCACGGCCAGCGCCACCGCCAGCCTGCTGGCGTCCCTGCGGACCCCGCTGGGGACCCCCCCGGGCACACCCCTGCCCGGGCAGGGGCGCGGAGCCCCCGACAGCCCCGGAGAGCGCCTGAGCCCCGAGGAGAGGTGGGGAGGGGGCTTTGGGGAGGAGTGTGGCGGCAGGGAGGGGTGTCACGGTGGGGAGGGGGTGTCACGGAGGGCAAGAGTGTTGTGATGAAGAGGGGGCATCACAGGGGAGAAGGAGGCATCAAGAAGGGGGTGTCAGGGCAGGGAGGGTGTGTTGTGGTGGGGACGGGGGGTGGTGGCGGAAAGGGGTGCCATGACAAGGAGGGGAGGGGCTGTCATGGTGGGGAGGGGGCGTCGCGGTGGCTCGGAGATATCACAGGGGGGGTCATGGCAGGGGTGGGTGTCGCGGCTCGGGGGTGTCATGGCGGGGAGAGGGTATCGTGGAGGGGCTTTCACGGCAGGGAGTGGTGTCACAGTGACTCGGGGGTGTCACGGTGGGGAGGGGGTGTCACGGCGGGGAGGGGGTGGAGGGGAGGAGTGTTGTGGTGGGTCATACCTGTCGAGGCGGGGTGGAAGCGTCGTGGTAGGGAGGGGGCTGTCACAGCGGTTCAGGGGTGAAGAGGGGGTGTCGTGGTGGGGGTGTCACATCGCCCCCCCCCCTGCGGCCCCCCCAGGCCGGCGCTGAGCGAGTCGCGGCTGCGCAGCCTGAGCCGCTCGGCGCTGCTGGCTGAGGTGGCCTCGGCCGAGATGAGCCTCCACGCCATCTACCTGCACCAGGTGTGTCCCCCGGGGTGCCCCTGCCCACCGGAGTGTCACTGTCCAGCTGCTCTGCCCTCAGCCCCGGGGGGTCCTGCCTGGCCCTGGCGCCTGTCCCACGTCCCTTGTCCTTCATCCCTTGTCCCTGTCCCCCACTCCTTGTCCCCAGCCCTGTTCCAGGCTGCCCCCTCACATTGCCCCATGGGGTGACACCCCACCCTCCCCCATTTTTGGCCAGGGACCCCACAGCCAGTGCCAGATGGGGCACTGGGAACGAGGCCCCGTGGCCAATGTCACCCATGTCCCCCTTCTGCCACCCCTTCAGTGGCCAGGGGTGTCATGGGCTGGGGGACCCCTTCCCTGCTGCCCCATGGGGAGGCAGCTTCTCATGGAGGGGCCCTGAGTGCCAACACTGTGGGGGGGCTCAGAGCACCAGTATGGGGGGCTCTGCTATGGTGGGGGGCTCAGAACATCAATACTGGGGGGACTCTGACCACCAATATGTGGGAGCAGCGCTGTTCTAGGGGGCTCTGGCTGCCTCTGGGGGCCTCTGCCCACCGTGCTGGGGGGCTCTGTCTCTGGGGGGGGCTCTGAGCACTAATATGGGGGTCTCTGCTATGCCGGGGGGCTCTGACCTTTCCTCCCGCCCCCCCAGCTCCACCAGCAGCAGCAGCAGCCGCAGGGCCCCGGCCCCCAGCCCGCGGGGGGATGGGTGCCCACGGGGACACCCAAACCCCTCTTCGTGACCACAGGTGAGCACCGGCAGTGCGGGGGTCTCAGGGGACCGGGGGGACATTGCTCAAACCCCCCCCCCGCAGGGCTGAGCCCCGAGCTGGGGCCGCGGGGGGGTCCCAGGGATTCTGACCCGCCCTGTGCCCCCCCAGGCTCGGCTGCCCGGGCCTCGCAGCTGCGGGAGATGCCGCTGGGTGGGTGGGCCGAGGAGGAGGAGGAGGAGGAGGAGGAAGAGGAGACGATGACGATGACGTAGCCGGACCCGGCTCTGGTGAGTGGGGGCAGGGGGGCTGGAGACCCTGGGGCTGGGGACAGGGAGACCCTGGGGTGGGACACGGTGACCCCAGGGCTAGGGACATGGGGACTCCCGGGACTGGGACATGGAAAACCCCTGGAGGTGGGACATGGGGACCCCAAGGGCTGGGGACAGAGAGACCCCCAGGGCTGGGGTTCACCAAGGCCTGGCTGCCACGTGTGCCGGGGTCCCCAGTTGTCAGGGTCCCCACTCTGGGATCCCCACTGATGCCCCATTCCCTCCACAGGGCCCTGGTTGTGCCGAGACCCCCCAGAGGTGCCGGGGGAGCTGCCGTGGGCGTGGGGTGGCTGCAGTGGGGGGCTCGCCGTGCCCACTGTGCTGCTGTCGGGGCCCTGCCCGTGGGAGCCCCCCACTTGGGGTGTCCCTGGTGCCCGTGCTGTGGCGTGGGGCTGGGGGTGCTGCGAGGGGCCCCCCCAGGTGCTGTGTTTAGGGGGGTGCACGGGGCTGGTGCCTCCCACGGTGCCCTGGGCACCAGCAGAAATAAAGGTTTACAGAGGGGCTGTGCCCCCTGTCTGCTTGGGGGGTGGGCTGGGGGGAGCTGGGAGGATGATGCCATGGACGGGGCCGTGGCAGTTTGGGGGTGACACTGGGGTGCGTGGGCAGGTGGCAGGAGTGCTGCTGGGGTGGGGCCACTCACCTGCAGCTGCCCAGGTGTGAGCCACAGGGCCCTGGCCGTGTCCCCCTCCCACCATTGCCCACCCCTCGGAGCCGTGGCACCTTGGCCACGTGCCCTCACTCCTCGTGGCCAGAGCACGGCCACGTCCCCTCAGCCCCCCTGGTTCCCACCTCCCGTGTCCCGAGTGTGGACGGGTGACCTCAGAGGTGCCACAGAACCCGTCCCCTCCCCAGAGCCACCGGTGCCACCACAGGAGCCCAAGTGCCAGGCCGGGGTATCAAAACTAAAACCTTTACTGGGGGGTGGCGGCAGGACGGGGGGCGCAGCCGCAGGGACCCCCGTGTGCCCCGTGTGCCCCATGTGCCCCGTGTGCCCGCGCTCAGGGCGCCGGGCCCGGCGGGCGCCGCTCCTGCAGGGAGAAGGACTGGCTGCGGATGCGCAGGGCCACCTCCTGCGTGCGGAACGTCAGCCCGAAGATGTCCTCGTGGTAGCGGTTCTTGTCCTGCGGGACGGGCGTCAGGGCGGGGCCGGGGAACCCCATGGGGTCCCCACGGGGTCCCCCGTGGGGTCCCAGCCCTTACCCTCAGCTCGCTGATGACGTCCCCCGCCTGCCCCAGCGTCATGTCTCCCTCCTGGGCCAGGATGTGCTGCACGGTCTGCAGCACCTCGGTGGCCATGGTGACGTCCCCGCACACGTACATGTGGCCCCCGCGCTGGCACAGCACCTCGTGCACCTCGGCCGCCAGCTGCGCCCGCAGCACGTCCTGCACGTAGGTCTGGGGACACCGCGGGGCCCGATGGCACCTGGCACCACCCAACCCGTCCCCAGGTCCCCATCCCCACCCCTGTGCTGTCTCTGTCCTCATCCCTCTCCCCAGCCCCTCCTCCCTTCGTGTCCCCATCCTGTCCCTGTCCCCATATGTGTCCTTGGCCCCTCTCTTCCTCTCCTCCTTCCCTGGCCTTGTGTCACCCACTGATCCCTGTCCCCTCCATTTCTATCCCCATCTCATCCATGTCCTTGTCCCCATCACAGTCCCCTCCCCAGCTCCATCCCTGTCCCCATCCTGTCCCTGTCCCCATCCCACCTCGGAGGTCTCAGGCTGGCAGGAGAAGGCCATGAGCACCTTGGCTGAGGGGCCCCTCCATCCTGTCCTCATCCCATCCCTGTCCCCATCCGGTCCCCATCCCATCCCTGTCCCCATCCGGTCCCCATCCCGTCCCTGTCCCGTCACACTTTGTGGGTCCTGGACTGGCAGGAGAAAGCTGTGAGTGCCTGACCATGGATCCCTCCATTTCTGTCCCCGTCCCTGTCCCCATCACGGCCCCTCCCCAGCTCCATCCTTACTCCAGTCTCTCCCCATCCCGTTCCCATCCCACCCCTGTCCCCGTCACACCTTGGGGGTCCCGGGCTGGCGGGAGAAGGCCGTGAGCACCTGGCTGAGGGCCCCCTGCTCCCGCGCCTGCTCCATCTCCTCGCAGTAGATGTGGTCCAGGGCAGACGAGCGGCACCCAAACACCAGCACCATGGGGCCCAGGGAGACACCTGCGGGGACAGTGGCCCTGGCTCCCTGC